AAAAAAAAAGGTTACAAGTTGTTTGCATTTACTCAATATTCTACTTACACATTTTATAAGTATATACATATAAAACGTAATGAAAACATAAGAAATAAAAAACTAGTCACTAATCATAATAATTATTATTTTTTTTATCTAATACTAGAAAATAAATTAATAATCCTTTTCACATAATAAACATATGAATATAGTACTCAAAAAAATAAATGTAACAGTCTTCCATAAATAATATATACATTATTATTATATTATTCTTATGTTGAGATATTGACACAGGATAAAATGTTATTTTAATGATTTAATATGTCATTTTATGTGTGTATAACTATATAACAACAATATTGAAATGATAATTTCTAAAATAATTTCCTACCATATTGGAATGATAGTAATGTTTTAATTTAAATAATTAACAGCCAATTTGTCAGTCTTAGATACATAACAATTATACTTTGCCTATAAAAGAAAACCAAATCAAAATCAAATAATWTAATTTAAGGTTTAGTATTATATAATATTTTTTACAAAAAAAATTTGCAATTGGCAACAAAAAAAAAAGTAAATATAGATTGTACCAAATTATTCGTCGTCAGAGTCATCTACCAGATTAATGATATCGTCATTTGACACAGGACCGGGGGTAGATTGAGGGACTTTTTTCTCACGGTCAATATTTTTTTTCTAAAAATAAAATATATTTATTACTTAATAAATAACGAATAAATATTATTCATACATACTTTAGTTGGTGAATAAGATGTCCTTTTATTATTAACAATTACAGTTTTAGTTGACTCAACACTTTTTACATGTTTTGCTTTACTGATTTTATTTAAATCAGCCAATAACATATGTTGATGTCCAATCACTCGATCAACCTTAATGAATAAATATAAATTCAAAACATTAAATAATACTTTAAATAAATATCATTTTAAGCGCTCAAAATTAATAAGATATTGTTCTCAAAAACTCAGTTTACAGGAAATATTATCGCTCGCTATAGAATCAACCAAATGATATTTTTTTATTGAAATTTGAGAGGCAAATATTTTACAGTTCACTGCAAACTATGTTTTCCAATATTTGAATCTTAAACTTGCTAATAACTCTAAAAAATAAATTATTCAGCTTCTTTTTATAAATTATTTTATTCCTATAATTAAAATCAAATAAAAATCTGAGTATAATAATGCTGGCTGTAAAATGTTGTTTGTCAATTGAAATTATCTAAAAAAAATTCAGTTTTCAACGAGTTATCCATATTATCATGAAGTTAATTTTGTCCACCAAAACGGACAATAAAATATTTCATATACMTGCAAGTGCATGTACATTGATCATATACTTAAGGATTACACATTAATATCATTAATAACCATTCACACATCTACTCACAGAATTGTACATACAATGCTGAAACGAGATAAGATTGCCAACAATTCATTTCTAAATAAATAACCTAATAAATAGCGCGCACCGAGGGCCTTAAAAAAAAATAAAGTATAATTAATTACCCATTTTAATTTTTCGCTATCTTCAATTTTTTCATATTTGCTTCCCATTCCATGTTTTTTAACATGCCATGCCATTTTTTTAGGAGAATCAGATATTTCAAAACATATCAAGCATTTCCATCTACAGATCACAAAACTATTAGTTAAATTCTGCAATAAAAATAAAATTGAGAAAAAAAATGGCTTACGTTTTATAATTGACTTCTTTGTATAAGTGCTCACGGAAAAGTTCTATATTGAAAGTCTCGAATACATGGCACTTAGGGCAAACAAAGTGACCATTTGCAGATATTGCTCCTAACTTATCATTTTTATTGAAAACGTCTATTAATGTTTTCTGTTTATGAGGTTGAATAGGAGAACTTTTAGTAGCTGACTTTGGACTCTTTGAAATACCACGAGATTTATTGTACACTTTTAATGGTGTTGATTCAATAGGAATTCCTCGACAAGTAGGAGGCACGAGAGTAGGTTCAATACTTTCTAAAGCTTGCTGTTCTAGTATGATTTCTGAACCACCTAAATGTTTGGATTGCTGGTGTAACTCTTCTTTATCAGTAATCTAGATAAATAATACGCATAACTTTAGAAATCAAACTCAATATTATAGGTTAATATTTATAATAAGTTCAAATCTAGTGATCACTGAAAGTATATTTTAAGTTGTAAAATATTTTATCCAGTTAATTGTAAGCAATAAGCATCATATAAGTACTAATAAAAACAATCAAAAATCTACACTAACCTTTTCAAACACTCTTAAGCACTTTACTGCTACAGATGGATGTTCCAACTTATAATGTTCTTCAAATATACTAGCATCATCATCTTTGTGTTCAAATGGACACATAGGACATTTAAACATATTTGATACTTTATGAGCCATAACAATATGTGATATTATCTCATTTTCTGTATATCTTAAACCGCTAGAGCATATATTACATACCCATTGAGGCACATTTGACAGAGCTATGATGTAAAATCAAATTGATAAATATATTGTAATTTTCTGAGTTAATAAGTTATAATATGTAATATACCTTTGCTTCTGCCTCTGTCAATACTATCATCTTCTAACATTGTTTGTCTGATGACAATTATATTGGACTGTACTGAACTAGTTATTTCTGATAGATGGGTATTCCTCATGTGTGTTCTCATTTCAACTCTATTGAAGTCAATATACTCACAATATTGACAACGATATAGATTTGCACCATGGTACATTAGATGAAGTTCTATTTGATTTCGTTCAACAACTTTAGATATAATGCAAGACGGTTGACAATGTGGACATCTATAAAAATAA